CACACCCGACCATATAAACTTGGCCTTCTTTTGAGTCAAACCCGTCAAAGGAGAAGCAATGGAGGAAAACCCCTAAACAAACCTTCTATAATAATCAGCCAAACCCAAGAAGCTTCTAATGTCTGTCGGCGATAGAGGTCTAGACCAACTCTTGACTGCATCCGTCTTAATCGGATCCACCTCAATGCCCTTGCTTGAAAAAATATGGCCTATGAAAGCCACAGACCTTAACAAAAATTCACATTTACTAAACTTTTCATAAAGTTGTTGGTCCTTAAGGTTTTGCAATACAATCATCAAATGATCAATGTGCTCATTCTCACTTCTCGAATAGATCAAAATAACATCTATGAACATAATTACGAATATATCAAGGTATTGTCTAAACATCTTATTCATTAGGTCCATAAATTCCATCGGGGCATTAGTCAAACCAAAGGACATAACCAAGAACTCGTAATGACCATATCGGGTTCTAAAAGACATTTTCAGAATATTTTCCTCTTTCACCCTCAATTGGTGATAACCCGATCGGACATCAATTTTAGAAAATAACTTTTCCCTTGGAGTTGATCAAATAAGTCATCTATTCTCGGAAGAGGATACTTGTTCTTTATGGTCACTTTGTTCAATTAGCGGTAATCAATACACACACGGAGTAAACCATCTTTCTTCTTAACAAACAACACCGGAGCACCCCATAGAGAGATACTCGATCGAATGAAACCCTTATCTAATAAGTCATTTAATTGTTTCGTCAACTCCTTAAGTTCGGTCGGAGGCATTCTATAAGGAGGAATATAGATAGGTTGGGTATCAAGGAGAAGATCAATCCCAAAGTCTATTTCCTTTTCAGAAGAAACACCGAGCAAATCATCGGGGAAAACTTCTGGAAACTTTTTTACCATCGGGACCGAATAGGAGTGTGAGACTCAACATCCCTTACCCTCAGCATATGGTAGACACAACCATTCCAAATCATTTTCCTAGCCTTTTGGTAAGAAACAAATTGACCTCTAGGCATAGAGTTTCCCCTCTTCAACTCTAGGATAAGCTTATTTGATAATTGGAATTTAACTACCCGAGTTCTACAATCGATAGAGGCATAACACGAATGCAATAAATCCATGCCCAAAATAACATCAAAGTCAATCATGTAAACTTCCACCAAATCTAGGCTATGGGATAACGAAACGGGACATATCCTATAGACTCTCTTAGCCACCAAAGAATCACCAACAATGGTAGAGACAAAAAAAAGGTTCTAATAACACTTCGAGGAGCACATCAAACCTCATAGCTATAAAAAGAGTCACAAATGACAAAGTCTCACCTGGATCAAGTAAAGAATACACATCTATATGAAAAACTTTTAACATACCCGTCAGCACATCCGGGGAGCTCTCTTGATTGCCTCTAGTTTGGAGAGCATAGAAACAGTTTTGCTTATGAGAATTTTCACTTGATCCACTTGGACCGGATGAAAGGTAGGGTTGATCCCTACGATGAGTGTCTCCATCAGTAACCAAAGGGCAATCTCACGATGATAAATAAGGTGCTTCTTGGGAGGCAACCCAAGGTTTTATCGCTTTATGTTTATTTTAGAAATAATAGTGTGTTGATTGTGCAGGTTAAAGTGTGGAAAGTGTTTGAAAAGTGCAGATTGGCAAGCTAAAGGTCTAGTTGGCGAATCGTTGAAGAGGTAGGCGAACCCGACCCAGACCACCGTTGGACTCAAGACAATTTCAAAGTGGAGTCTATAAAAGTCGGTGAGCCCAGGAAATTATTGGCAAATCGCCGACCTGGTCGGCGATCACGATATAGTCCACTGTTTGGACCCCAGTTTAACTAGAGGTCCTATAAACTCTACGAGGTAAGTGATCACTCGGCGTGTAACCGAGTGGTTTGGCGAGCACGACTAATGTCGCTGAATGGGCGAGAACTGGACGGGTTTTAACGTCAAAGGTTTAAATTTTAAAACTCTTCACTTTCCCTCACTTTTCACTTTCACAAACTCACACCCGATAAGTATTTTCTACATTTCTCGCTTCATTTCTGTATTTGAGTTGTTGAATTGTGCTCGGATTTTGATTACATTGCCGCCTAGCATGTCAATCTTATTTTTATCAGCATTAAAGGTTGGTTTTCCAAACCCCGAGTTTGTTTTTATAGATTTGTACTCATTTGCAATGATATTATCTTTTTGAAGTATGTTGGGCCTCTCTGATAGGATTAGAATGCTTGATTGCCTACTTTAATTCGATAATCTTGCCCGTAGTGTCTTGAATGTTGAAATCCCATATTTTTGTGCCTTAAAATGAATTAAATTTTGTGGGGTTGTGCTTGCATGTTGTTGGGTCTAGTCGGGTGAGATCTAGGTTGCCCGTATTTGTGCCAAATGACGTATTTTGCCCAATGATGGAGTTGTTGACGTCATTCTTAAGAGCAAAAGTCGTTAATTGGCCAAATTTGGAAAAACCCGAAGAAGTCTGAGTATCCCGGGGTGATGGGTGTTATGGGACTTGATTTAATTTGAATTGTGCATCATTTGATTTTGTTTTCGGGGATTGTGGGGTTGAATTCGAGAAAATGGGTTGAAAGTAGGCACGTTGGGTCGTTTGGCGAGCTGGGTCGAGCTCGCCAAACCACTCGGCGGTTCGCTGAAGTTCCCTATCTCGCCTTTAATTTTATGCTTAATGTGTTGTTGTACTCTGTAACTTTTGGCGAGAAGCCTGAGGTCGCCGAATGCACTCGACGACTCATCGAAAGACTTCTTGATCTCCTTTTCTCTGCACCCTGAACCCTTTTTACACTGTAACTTTCGGCGAGCTGATCCTTGCTCGCCAAAAGCTGTCAGCGATTCACCGAAAAGTAGTACGGGGTATCACTATAAATGAAGGGGGATCAAATCCTCCAAAGAAGGGCAGACAACAACCTCCACCTGGAGATAAAGGCAAGGACAAGAGGCCCATTTCTGACAGGGAGACTACTCCCCGAGTCCCCTATATTCCTTCATGGGCCCGGGGATTCTATGCAGCTGTGCAGACCTTTTTGGTGGATACACCCTTGGCAGCTCCTAGTGGGTCTGATATTGTTGTTTCTTCTGAGGTGACTCCGGGCACTAAAACCCAGGACCAAACTGATACACCGGGCACTGATGCTCAGACAGATGGAGCGACTGCGTAGACAGGATCCTCTCTTTACCTCCCTCTCTATCTTACTTTTATTTTGACTGTTGGATATTTTCGTTTGCATTTGAGGACAAATGTTTTTATTTGTGGTGGGGTGAGGCCCACCTTTGTGTGACTCTTTTTGTGAATATTCTAGTTTTGTTTATATATTTGGGCTTTGAGCTAAATTTGTGTTATACATTGCTTTTTGTGGAAGGTTTGAGCTTGTGGTTCCTTGCTTTTAATTGTAAATGATTTTTTACCCTTCCGAAATTTTTTTGCCACCTCTTGTATGTGTTGAATGTGGCTGTTCTCTTGTAAATTTGAGTATCAATTTTGATCAATACCGATGACTTGAATAGTTCTCATAATCGAACAAAAATGAATGTGTGGCAACAACGAGGCCAATTAAAGTTGCATATACAATATGTGAACTCCTTGCATCTTGTTGTGATTAGCCAAGTATCGAATTGAGTCTCTTGAGATGATCATCGCACACTAGCGAAAGTGTGGAGTCTTGTTTGACTTTGGTGACAATTCCTTGTGTAATGAGCTTATCATGAACCATGTGTAGTGACAATTCCTTGTGTGATGAGCTTACCATGAACCATATATGATGACACCTAGAATTTTCCCCGTTGGTCCGGTTGACTAAGTGATGCAATATTTTGAGATGATCTTAGGCAACTTTAAAGAGTGTGAACCAATTTGAAATTATACCTCTTTTGTGGCTTACCTTGTGAGTGTGTGAACCTCTTTTGAGCACCCTTTGAGCCTAAACCTTTTCTTGGAAGAAACTTGACTTTGCTACCTTTTATTGACCCATTACCCATAATCCTCATGATCTGTGGTTTGTTTGAATAGCCAACTTAGACCAAAAGCCTAAGTTGGGGGTGTGATTTCAGCATTAAGATAAAAGTATTTCAAATAAGCAACATCACATAATATAATCTAATAACAAATTCTTTAATCAAGTTTCATCATCTCAGTTTTTTTTAATCTTGTATTTTCTATTTTACTCTATAGACATTTTAAGAATCATTTATTAAAATTTAAATATGTCAATTGATAAAAATAAGTCCAACTATTCAAAACTCCAAGAAAAAGAAGTTGAAAATCTAATACAATTTACAAAAAGAAGCTATCTTAGCTTAAATAAGTTTTTGAAAATAAAAGTTGATCAAATCTTATTCAAGATCAACAATATATCAAGAGAGACGGTATTAACTTGCTATACTATCAATTGAAAAGGAATTATTAGGAGAATTCAATTGTAAAATAATTATTCACCACTTTGCAATATAAAAGTAATTTTTTTTTAGAAAAAAAAATTAAACCCTCATTTAAAAATTTGGCTTTAGGCCACCAATAGCATTGAGTTGCCTCTATCATATAGTATAACTAAGAAAAAATTTAACTTATAAACAAAAAGAATGGTATTTTAAACCCTTTTTCTCATTGAAAGAAATTGAAATTGAATAAAAAAAAATATTAATATGAAATTTGGCTCTCAAATTCTATTTAAGGATAAGTGGCCTCCGAAAGTGAAACTCACACGTCACAACCTATTTAGATTGGGTTTAGGGTTTGGCTAAATCAAAAATTCCATTATACTTATTTTTATTATTTTAACTTAAAATCAAATTGATTCAAACACTAAACGAAAATTAAAAATTACTTATTTTATTTATATTAGAAACACAACTTTTTTTTTCCAAAAAGATAAATCATCCGAGCCATAATCGTAAAAAAATTGGGTACCATCTAATCAAAGGCGGTGGTAGACAAATATGTATAAAAGGTAACCTAAAGCAAAGCAAGCGCAGGAAATAGTAGTACACATTATTAAGTAGGAAGTACAAAGTGGTAAGGCATGGACGATGAGAGCTTCAGAGCCCGTGTACACAAAGTTTTCGGCTGTCTATCGCCGTCGGCATCGGTGTGGTCTCTCAGCGACGACGATGTGGAGAAGAAAGAATGGAATCGAAGCGCACTGAAGCAAGGGAAAGATGATGATGACCATAACCTTTGTTCTTCATCGTATGATGAATTATTCAAACAAAAACGCAGGAACATCCAAAATGTTATCAATGATGATGAAAATCGTGTTGATGATGTTTGGGAAATCAGATCCTCTATTGGCTTAGATTCCACGCTTGATAATGAGGTATTTCTATGTTTCTCCCCTTTTGTCATGCATTCAATTTTAATTTTAGATTGAACTAGATAAGGGCATTTCGTATGGAGGAAAAAATAACAATTTCTTTATTAAAATCTTTTGTTTGTTTGTTTCCATTAAATTACAGGGAGTAGGCTATATATATGTCTTTAAAGTGATATGGAGTAAAAGTTGATAAATTTACAAATGAAAGTGACACGGAGTAAAAGTTGATAAATTCTGGGCCGAGCTCGTTGTAAGGGGCTTGCCTAGTGTTGGTCACCTCTCCTATATGGTTCGCCACCTATTGCACAGGAGTGGGGGTTTTCCGTGTGCACACCGAAAGGGTCATCAAAAAAGAAGTAATTAAAGTTGTGTTTCTGTGACATGTTTGGCTTTAGAAGTTGCTATGAAAGTTTCAATAGTTCGACTAAAACAATTGACATGGAGTAAAAGTTAATAAATTTACAAATGAAAGTGAATTCTGCAAATAAGTAAACACAAGTCATTTTCCTCTTTTGGGGTATATAACATTGTCCTCAAAATAAACATTTGCTTATACCCCAAACACACTCTTTATGTATTGTATTTTTGGTTTCCAGAATGCAAACTTATTAAGCAATAGATGCTAATTCAGGCATCGGCAATCCTTTACATAATTAATGCGGGCCTATCCTCTTAGCTATTGAATATGCTGTAATTTAGAATATCGTTTCCAGGGGATCAGGGACGTCATTGTTTTATTTGACTTTGCTTTGAAGCAGCATCTATAATTTAGAATACTGCTTGATACTGAATTTTTAAGCAACAATTTTTCTACTATATAAATGATCGGACAGAGGTTATGTTATTGTTGTCAACATGATTTTTATGTTGCAATGTTAATGCCAGTGTTTTCAAAGGCTTTTTTGGGCCGAGTCCTAGGGCATGGCGTAGTATAAACACACCGGGTAATTTGGCCAAGTGAAAGTATCATTGAGGTGTAAGTCTCATTTGTCTAGGCATACATTCAGGCGTTGGCTGATATTTTGTTTTGGAGCATAAGAATACCTCTCCTAATTAGAATTAGAATTGCTAATTGAGGGAAGATTTGGATCGCCTTGCAACTACTAATCGAAGGAAGATTTGGATCGCCTTGCAAAGATCAGGTGCCGATATGACCCTCTTCCATTTAGCAAAAACACAGATATGCAGAGATCAAAGAAAGTTGGTATATAGGAAATGTGATACTAGCTACCCAATTGGCGAAACAAGGCATAAGTTGTGCTTTGCGTCACAAGCAGAAGGAGAAATGTGATACCCAATTTCAATGTTTGAAGGAAGGGGAGGACTGCCTACGGTGGACAGAGCACAACAAAGGAAGATACAAAGTGAGTACAGGTTACAAGGTCATGAATAGGGCTCCTCTAACCCTCAATTGGCCTTGGAGACAAATCTGGAAAACCAAAATTCCACTCAAGGTGGCATGCTTCACTTGGCTGCTAGCAAAGGAGGCAGTACTAACACATGAGAATCTGAGGAAACGAAGCAACATTCTGGTGACACATTGTTGTTTATGTGGGGAGGCAGAGACAGTTAGGCATTTGTTCTTACATTGTGGAAGATTTTCATCAATCTCAGAGGCATTCAATGGACAATGCCTAGCAAGATTGTTGACACTCTCTCAAGTTGGGAGGAAGTAGGAATTGAGGCAAAGAACAGAAGTTATTGGAGGACAATTCCAGCATGCATCTGGTGGACCATTTGGAGAGAAAGGAATGCTAGAAGCTTTGAGGATAGAAGCAGATCCCTACAAATGATCAAAACAGATTGTATTCTGTTATTATGTTTTTGGTGTACAAAGAGTTCCCCTGTAGATGCAGAAGCAATCCTAGAGGTATTAGAATCATGCTAGGCTTGCTGTTTTTGTTTCTAGATTTTCATACGTTTTTGTAAAGGGGCTTTCAGTACTAATGTAGTACTGGTTTATAATACAAATCGTTACCTTCTCCATAAAAAAACAAAAAAAAAAAAATGATGCATTATTAGCTATTAAAAAGAACAAGCATGAAATGGTAAATTGCCCGAAAATAATGAGGAATTGTGGATGAGCAATTGCCTTTTATCCAGTTCTTGACTTCTAGATATTTTCTATGAATATTTGTTACTTCCTAGATCTCAAGAAAGAAAATAAGAACAGAGGTATATATTTTGCTAAGTGAAACAAGATAAGCTTAGAGCACTCAAATAACCAAATCTTATGATGTAACAGCAGCTTCTAATGGCACACCTAAGCTTTTGACAAGGAAATACCCCCCATCTACATACTAATTTCAGAAACAGATGATCTTAGAACAGCAAATATGCTGATTATCTCTAGTTTTTTGTAGTTCAAGGATACATTGAATGAAGTAGAAAAGTGTACATTCACTGACCACTTAAAACTACAGTCTTCTACAACCAAACAAAGGACAGTAGTACTTGCATACCCATGAATAAAATTGTACCATTAGGGGTAAGAGCTCACCAATAACTAAAGAACGAATCGCAGAAGAATCAGGCGAGGTGAATCTTCATCACAGAACAACCAAGAAAATGAGCCTTCCAACTCGATGAACAAAAAAGCTCATGCTTTATGCTCCTTCAGCAAATACCCAATACACCCTTTTTGCTCTCTCTGAAATATACGTAACAGCTTATCACTTCTCACAAATCCCACAATCTAAAATTGCAACTCCAAATATTTCTATTTTTTTCTGTATGTCAGCTCCTATTGTTTTGTGAGTATATAAATTGGTGTACATGTGGTTTTCAATGGTGGAGGATAGAGGCTTTTTGGAGGTCATTTTACTTTGGGGGTTGGGAGGGGGGGGGGGGGTTGTGGTGGTAAAGGGTAAGGGGTTTTTTTGTTGTGAAATTATTTCCAGACAAGTCTATAAAGTCTTTAAGTAGAGAGAACTCCAGGTGTTTTAAATTCCATGTTTCTGTCAGGGTTAGTGATTGGACGGTGTTTCGGATTTCAATTTTCTTTTTGAGGTTGAAAACATTGTCAATTATTCTTACTGCTAAACTGTGATCTTACTGTTTGCAAAAGGTGACTGTGATTGAGGGGGTTGGGGGGGGGGGGGGGGGAGGGGATGAAGGTTTTTGGAGATGTTGGCGGGGGAGAGAGGAGGAAAGAGAAATATAAAAAATTGTAGCTTAATTTTGAGCCACATGGAAATTTCTGTTGCATTAGTCTCAAAGCTTCTGCCCTTGGGAAATAAGGTCAAATATAGCTCATTTTGTAATTGACGAAGTCATATTCATCCCCAACTATTAACAGAGGCTAAACTTGGACCATTTTTCACAGTTCAAGGGTAAATTGACCCATTTCCATTCTAAATTGTAGTTATAGGCATGTTACTAAGTATCTTTGTAGGCCTGTAAAGTGTTCCAACTGCTATGGATACCATTTTCTTTGTTTGTGACTTATGATCCTTCTTGATTGCTTCTGCAGGAGGAGGAAGATGAATATGATAGAGTGGCCGAGGGCAGAGTGGATGCTCGTGATCGCTTGTACATGAAAAATATTGTTGATCAGGAAACATCTTGTGATCCTCCGGGACATAACATCTGTAGAGACCCACGTGCAAATCATATGGCTGCACAAGTTAGGCTGAAGGAAGATGCAGATGCAGCGGAGAAATGTGAAACTGATTTTGATGGTATCACTCTAAGTGGTGGGCAACATTCAGCTAAATCACTTCAGGATCACTGTAACGTGAAGCCAATTTTGAAAAAAGCAAGGAAATCAGTGAATGGTGAGGTCAAGTCTACTAAACGGGTCAGGTTTGATCCTGGTTGTAAAGATGAATCTGACGGGGCATCAGAACTAAAAGTTTCTTGGGCAGCTCCTGCATCAGCTAACTCTACTTTTGAAGACAATGAATCCATTAGCAGTAGGCTGAAGGTTCCTGATTATGTTCTCAACCCTTCAAAGTATACATGTTATAGTTTGGATTCACCTAGTGAGCTTATTGATGAGCCTAGTCAAGCTTTCGGATATGTTCTCGAGGAGGTTGAGAAGTCAAAGGATGATGTAGTGGAACAAGAAACTATAGACATGTCAGATACTAATCCTAAATCAGTAGTTTTTGTACCTAGGCAGAAGAACACGGATGCTATAGGAGCAACGGGTGCAACTGTGTCAAAGGGAATGATTGAAGATGCTTGTAATGAATCCTTGCACCCAAAGGGTTTCCCTGTTTGCATTGCTGCTGGAGAAGCTCAACGAACTGAAGATCCAATGGAAGAAGATATGGAAGCACGTGTGGCTGAGAATAACATTGTGCCCCTAAAACCAGAACGTCGATATCGAATCAAGGCAGGGATGGAGGACACTTGATGATCTTCTGTTTACTTGAAGCTAGTATCTGTGTTAATTGTTGAATCAAGGCCGGGATGGAGGACAGTTGATCTTCTGTTTACTTGAAGCTAGTATCTGTGTTAATTGTTGAATCAAGGCCGGGATGGAGGACACTTGATCTTATGTTTACTTGAAGCTAGTGTCTGTCTTAATTGTTCATTTAGCAGAAATATTATTTGCAAGTTCTTGTCTTAGCTAACTATGACCCCAAACTACCATCCCTCATGGAAATAAAAAAAAAGAAAAAGAAGAGAAACAACTATATATGTCCCATCCCATACACAAGCTTATAAGCATGGATTGTATTTTTTTTCTTCATGACTCATCTACTTTTAAGGGCATTGAACAATTTGCGATGAATATTTTATTTTCAATTGTCTATATATTAGTTGGGGGAGGGGGGAAAATGGTGATTGGTAATTTTTCCATTGTGTTATCATGTCGATGGTGTTTGTATGTAAACTAGACTAGGTATAACATGGCTAGAATTAGGATAGTAAACCAGAAGGGCAAAAAACACAAGTATACAAAATAAGTACCTTAAAATCACTAAATAACAATAGTTTTATTTTTGACAACATAGCAATGAATTTTTTTCAAAATCATAAAATAATATTTAAAAAAAAAAAATGAAACGGAAATAGGGTAGAGATTATTATGACCGGCGATATTTTCTTCCTTTCCTTGATTTTTTTCTATTATTTTATTTACCTTCCACAATTAACTCAAATTGTTATACATTCTCTTTCATCAAAAGAAGGTATTTTAACCAAATTAAAACTCTCTACCTCCTCTATTCTAAAAGTTTGTTCAATTATGGATATGAACAGTGTGTCAATTTTAATTCAACACAACATACGATGGGATGATGTATGTGTTGATAGATCACAACGAAAATTGTGATTGTTATTTGGTGTTTTTTTTGTTGGTATTTTGTAATCTGACAATAGTAGTGTTGTATGTGGTGGTTGTTGGTGTATTTGATATAGTATAGATAATTTATTATACACCAAATTTGGTTGGTGTATGTGTAAGTAATAAGTATTATGACGAAATTGGTGATTTCTTAACATAATGAATTTAAGAAATTTGGTGTTTTTTCATGCTTGTTATTTCGAAATCTGGTCGTATTAGTGTTGTATGTGATGGTGTAGTAAATATATTTTAGATATTTAGCTTCTTTATTTTCTGGTAGAGTGTTGGTGTTTTTGATATATTTTTAGATAACTTATATACACCAAATTTTCCTGGTGTGTGTGTATATGTTTGTGGTATACGTTGTTAAAGAACTTGGTAGTTTGTAGTGTATGTGATTTTTAATTGGATTAAGGTATATACATTGAAAGTTTAAAACAATTATGTTGTTTAAATTACATATTAGTTTATGTTGGTGTATATCATACCAACATAACAACCAAACTGTTATACTATATCAATAGTTAAAGCCATTTTGTATAGCAACATGATTATCATTTTAATATAAATACATCATATTGTATAGAGAAAAAAAGTCTGAAATATATTCGAACTTTGACTGAAATTGTTGTAACAATACCAAATTAGGAAAGGACCTTTTACCCCCTGCACTATTTACACTACACCATTTTAGGTCTACAACAACACTAATTCTGGACTACGTTTGTAAAGTGTTACCTAAAGTAGTTTTGGGAACGCTTTTAAAGCGTAGCCAAAGTTTTTAACTTTTAGCTACGATAATATTGACAACACGTCAAAAGTGTACTCTTTAATGGTTTAAGCTACACTTTGTAAGTGTTGTTACAATATGATATAATTGGCAACACCTATTTACATATATGGCCACACTTTTAAAGTGTCCTATTTTTATAATTGAAAAAACAACACATTATAAGTGTGGCCTTAAAATTTTCACTAAAATATTATATTCCCTCCAATATTTTTAACTCTCCCTCCCATTTTTATTGGCAAAAAAAAAAAACATTAATAAATCATAAAACATTAACTTTCCTCTTTCACGCTTTCCTCTTTCACTGAAGAACTGACCCAAACAGCTAGCTGAAGAGAGGTGAAGAGAGCTGAAGAACCAAAGGGCTAGATGAACTGATTCTCTTCTCCGACACTGATTTGTGAGAAAAACACGCTGAAGAGTTGAAGTCGTCGAAGAACTGAGCTGAAGAGTTGAAGAGTTGAAGTCATCGAAGAACTGATAGCTGAAGTCGTCTTCTCCGGTAACGATTTCTTCAAGTGTAAGTACGATTCTCTTTTCCGATACCTATTTCGTCAAGCGTAAGTACTAAAATAGTCTTCTTGTTAGCTGAAGTGGTTGATTTTTTGTTTTGTGTTTAGAATAGGAGAATAATAAGGAATTGATTACTTTGGGGTTGTTGGCAAGATGAACTAAAGCTAATTAGTCTCTTCGTCACGCTTTTCTCTCAAATTTCTCACTGAAGAACACGATTTCAGACAGATTTTGTTGGAATAAGGTTTATCGGGTAAGAAATTCTATCTTTCAGAACATCACAATCATCTTTATCTTTTTTATTAGATTTCTCTTGCTGTTTTAGATCTCTAGCATGTTCATGTTCTACTAATCTCTGTTGCCTTCTTTTAATAGCATCTCTTTTTTTCTTGTTGTACATGTCTTGAGATTTGTTGTTGGGTTGTTTGGGACTAGTGTCAAGTTTACATATGCAGATGTGGACAAGTATAAATGGGCCAATTCTGATACTCAATCACTTGAAGGAAATGACAAACTCCTGCTTAAAACTTAATAACATGATAACAGTTGTAACAAACACTACATTCACAGAACATTCACCACAAAGGGAAGGATAAAAAAACTTTCTCCATGTATCACTGATACAACAGTTCTGAAATTCTCTATGTATTAGTGATACAAGAGTTTCTGTAGCTCGTTCTGTATCACTAATACAACAATTCTCTTTGTATCTGTTGTTGTATCAATGATATAGAGAAAATTTAAAAAATCGTTGTGTCACTAATACAGTGTGAAATTTGGAAACTATTGTATTACTAAGTCAACAAATATAAAAAATTATTGTATTACTAATACAAAGTGACTTTCATAAGTTGTTGATCGACTATGTATTATAGGATCATAGGAATGTTTGCTTGAATGTTTAAACATGATATTAGATGTTTGATACTTTTCTGATTGGGTGTGCACAAGAATGAGATTTTAAAATTTTGGACTTAGTTTTAAGAAACTCTAAAAGCGCTAAAGCTCTAAATTCAATCACAAAACTTTAACTTTTAATCATTTGAATTCTATTTATTTACTTTCTTTCTTAATTGTGTCTATCCTATAAATTTTACTCATTTTTTCCTTGGTAGTATCATTAACATTCAAAAACATTTGTGGAGGATTCAAGGTTTGATTTGGCATAGCAAAAGTGTCATCACTAAGTAAGAAACTTTTATCATCTCATAACACATGATTCTGATAACTTACTCATGACTTTTAAAACTTATTTGTGAAGTAGTTAATGATTGTTACTCAAACATTAAATATTGATATCTTCTTTTAGTAATTCACATATCCCATCCAAGGATTGGATAAATTTAGCAAGGTATAGCAAAGAGTATATTGATGGCGTTGAATCATTTCTAGATTTTTCTTACCCTTATGGAGATCCTCAAGGAGAGGAAATTCAGTGTCCATGTGCAAAATGTTGTAATATTCATTGGACTCGAAGGAATGTAGTGTATGATCATCTAATATGCTATGGATTCGTTAAAGGCTATACTAAGTGGATCAATCACGTGGAATGCGATATCAAGTTGAATGTTAACGATTATATGGATTACTCGCGTGATGATATTGATAGGTTGTTGAATGATCAATTTAGAGATGTTGCACAGGCCGAAGGAGTTTATGATGGTACAAATAAAGATGCCAAGAAATTTTATAACTTAGTTGAAGAGGCAAGCCAAGAATTATATCCTGGTTGTACAGGATTCTCTAAATTATCATTCACACTTCGTTTATATTTGTTGAAGTGTCTACATGGATGGAGCAATGGATAATTCACTTATCTTTTAGAGTTATTAAAAGAGGCGATGCCCGAGTTGAACATTCCTCCGTCTTACAATAAAACCAAGTCTATGGTTAAGAATCTTGATCTTGATTATGAGAAGATTGATGCATGTCCCAATGATTGCATGTTGTTCAGGAATGATCATAAGGATGATGAATTTTGTCATACTTGTGGAGCTTCACGATATATTCAATATCCTGAAGTTGATAGTGAGCTTGTGCCTTCAAAAAAACAGCATCGAGTTTCAGCAAAGACTTTGAGACACTTTCCATTAATTCCTAGACTCAAAAGGCTATTTATGTGCTCAAAGACGGCAGATTCTTTGAGGTGGCATGAAGAGGAGCATTCTAAAGATGGAAAGTTAAGGCATCCCGCTGATGGTCTAGCATGGAAAGATTTTGCACTAGATTGTCGCAATGTGAGACTTGGCTTGTCAAGTGATGGATTCAATCCATTTCGAACCATGAGTATATCACATAGCACATGGCCAGTTATGCTGATGATGTATAATCTGCCGCCTTGGATGTGCATGAAATCTGAATATTCTATACTTTCTTTACTTATACCTGGGCCGTGATCACCTGGAAATGACATTGATATTTACTTACAACCATTGATAGATGAGTTAAATTTATTGTGGGATTTTGGGGTTGAAACATACGATGCTTCAAGAAATCAAACTTTTCAAATGTGGGCAGCTCTTACGTGGACAATCAGTGACTTTTCTGCATATGCTATGTTATCTGGTTGGAGTACAAAAGGAAAGTTTGCTTGCCCTTGTTGTAACTATGGCACTAATTCTCGCTATCTTAAACATAGTCGGAAAATGTGTTATATGGATCATCGTGTTTTTCTACCCATGGATCATTCATGGAGATTTAACAAAAGATCTATCAATGGAAAAACTGAATTCAGGCCTTCTCCATCTTCCTTAAAGGGAACTGATGTGCTTAATAGCTTAC